TTAGTACCTGGGGTTACCTGTGTGCATATTAACTCTTACATACATAAAAACTTCTCTTCAATAGTTAGAAATATCTTTGAAAAATAGTTACTTTTGTAAAACATTTTCCCTCTCACTTCTTTAGAAGTTTCAGTATTAACCTACTGGCTGCAAAGACCCCAGCAGACAAACTACCAATCCGAGGAAGTGTTGTTTGCATCTCATATAAAAGGGACAGAATATAGATATCATCCAAATCATGCTCTTTCACAATCCCTTAGATTTAAAGAAATATATTAAAGAAATATATGCAAATATAATTATTTATTTATAATAAAATGAGAAAACATACAAGTTTCTCTAATGTCGAAGGCTGGAAAAATTTAATCTCATTGTATTAAAACACTACAACTCTAGCAACAAGTCTGTTGCAGTACCTTGCCAGGTACTGCTCCATGATGAGAAAAAATCACCAGTCTTATAACCACAGCATCTGTTCCAGGTGCTACCAAAAGTATTTGCTTGAAGAGGTTCAGGATGTTGAGATATTAACTAAGCAATGGCAGGAAGAACAACCCCTTACATACCGTAGTGGGATGGTTGGAGGAGGCAGCGCCACACTTCTGTCCACTAAACGGTAACTGTCAGTGCACTAAGCGGAAAATAATGTCCTGATGTGCAGTTAATGCTCTTTGTACTCCTCTGGAAGCCAAAGATTAAAGCTAAAAGCAACAAGATCTTCGTATTTCTGCATTAATGTTGAGGATTCTGTACTGAATTCAGGAAAACAGTGATTGTCACTGTGTCTAGATTTAGGCTCAGGAATACATCTTACACTACTGCAAGAGTAAACAGATAACTCCTAAGCCAATCTTCTCCTTAAGAAGAACTGTATCAGTTAAAAAGATTAAATTACTTTAAAATTGTTAATCAGATTTCGTTTAAAAGCTTGTGCTTTAGAAAGAGCAAAGTTTTTTTTACTAATCACATCGAGACAGTTTTACAAAAGAAACATCAAGAAGAAAACTGCATCACAGCTTGCACAGGAATAAAATCTTTCTGCAGTAACTGCGGAGAAAAATAAATGGACAGATGTTAGCACTCCAGAAACTGTGGCTAGGAAGTACATACAGAATCTTGCTAAATCACTGCAATGGGCACTTAAGGTGGTGTTACCTAAACACGCTCTAATACTGGGAGGTACCAACAGCTTTCTGGTGGAATCCATCTCCTTCCTAAAGACTGAAATTTTTAATTCAACTCATTATTGCCACCGGAATCAAACAGGAAAGGGTATTATCTTACATTCCCTAGAGTCACATCTGACCCTCAATAAGCCCAGGAAATTAATAGATGTATAGGTCCCAAAGGTGTCCAGGAATGAAAATAAGAAGAATTGGGGGTTGTTATTTCAGAGAGCTTAACGCAGATATTAAAGTCTTCAAAGACAATAATTGTTGTACACGCTTTGTTGGAAAGAAATCATGTTTCAGTAATTCCAGACCTCTGTCATTACAGACCATAACGTAAATCTCACATCCTAAACTTAGTCTATCACTAGTCTTACTATGACATCAAAAAGTAGTAACTTCTCCATCAGGAAAATTTGTTTTCCTAGAAATATAAAATTAATATGTGAACTGCTGTACTGATTCAGTTGGATCCAAGACCTGTCTGACCCAGTATCCCATATCTCTGACAGTTGCCACAGCAGGAGTATAAAAACCTCAGAAACATGAGTTAAATCTTGCGCCTACACACATTCTCTTTCTCTAAGTCTATAATGCAGGGATTTGATGGGCCTAAAGTTGAACTGAAATCATTATAATAGTACCTGATAGACCTTCCTCTGAGCAGCCATAAAGATTCTTTGCTGCAGCCTTCATCTAAAGCATCAATTAGATGCACTCACAGTGATACATCTCCCTGAGCAGCTACTGACACTTAGAGACTGTTTAACCCATTCTTTAATTTTACTGATCAGCGCTTGTCATGGCTTAACCCCAGATGGCAATTAAGTTCCACACAGTTGCTTGCTTACTCCCCCTACTTACACAGGGATGGGGAGGAGAATCAGGGAGAAAAAAATAAAATTTGGGGACTGTGATAGGAACTGTTTAACAATCCAAACTAAGTAAAATAATCATACTAGTAGTCCCACTTATAATAATAATTGATATAAAAAGGAAAGGGAGAGAGATTGATAAAACCCAAGAGATGCACAGTACAATTGCTCACCACCTGATGACCAATGCCCAGCCCGTCCCTGAGCCGCGATCAGCCCCGCTTCCAAGTAACCCCCTCCGTTTATATACTAGGCATGATGTTGTATGGTATGGAATATCCCTTTGGCCAGCTCAGATCAGCTGTCCCAGCTATGCTCCCTTGCAGCTTTTTGTGTACCTCCTCACTGGCACTGAGAAGACCTTTGCTTAGAGTAAGCACTACTTAGCAACAACCAAAACATCAGTGTGCTATCAACATTATTCTCATACTGAATCCGAAACAACACTACTAGAAAGAAAATTAACTCTATCACAGTTGAAACCAGGACATTGGTTTTTCTGATTGCTCTTAGGTACTGATTAGATGTATTCAAGGTGATACTAACATTTCTCTGAGTGGTTACTGCTACATTAAAGACCATGATGTGCATCGCTTTGCCTTCATTAACGTTGTTCCTTACCTGCCACTTTATTACTCAGGCCACCAAAACTCTTCTGCACCCCTTGGACTGCACTTAACACGTCCATATAATGAGCAAATTTTATCCCTTTCTGTTTAACCCATTCTTTCACATCAGTAGTCAGTGTTAAACAGCAGACAATCTCCTGCATGTTCACTGTGAGGTAGTACTTTCTACACTTTTTTTTAACCACTAGTTTTTTTTCTCCATTTTGAAAGAGACCTGCTTTCTTAAAAGCCTTTGGTTAAGAACTGTCTCCAAAAGGTTTATTGGAAATCCACGCTTTCTACATAATTCTCACCGAGTCAACTCAATCCAGAATATGCTGTTATATAAAGAAACTTAATATCCTAGTAACTCACAATTGAGTCAGGATGAAAGGTAAATTGAACTTACTAGATGTTTGTAAACTTGCAAAGTACTGGAAAGCACTCTTAACAACTTCAGTATTTCCCATGATCTGCATAACTAGTTCGCATCATTCATTGTCTAAATATTTCATGTAATTTACTGCTGTTGTGAAGAAAATGTAATTTCCATTTTAGATGAAAAGCAGAAAAGGGCAAATTAAATGGTAGTTTAAATCAGACATTTCCAGCTAGGATTTATTAATATGTCTAAATGAGTGCATCTTTCAGTTGTTCACTGAAGAGATATTCAGAGCCAATAGCCTCATTTTCTGTTCCCCCTTTGCTCACAAAGACTGCTAAAGGTGACAGCATTCCCATGCTTCATTTTATGACATACCTGGATGGTTGTGAGCAGTCTTTGGAAAGCCTACATGTTTATGAAATAGACACAGTTAGCACCTGTGAACTGTTCCCTATTGTTCTAAGTCACCAACGTCTGAAATTGAACCCTGACATGAAAGAAAGGCAATAATGGAATCTTAAATCCAGTTGTTTTGGGCTTTCAGTAGTGAATCAATTTGCCTAACATTGTGTGAAAGAAGTAATAATCACAGGTATTAGACTAACCATTACAGGTAGAATGCAAAACAGAAAAGGTTTAGCACATTGAATCCCTCCTTTCAGCCTGAGAACAGCAAAATTCATGGTGAGTATAGGTTAAGAACTGTTGTTGATGCAATATCTGTGTTATCAATAAGAAAATGTAATAATGAAAAAAGCAGAGCAAAGGTGTATTTTGCTGTGGAAGAAATAATACGGTCAGTGAGCTATGTGGAATACTAAACTACATCACTAACAATGGAACACAAAGAAATTACTACGGATAAATTTATATGCTATGAAATCATTTTTTTTCATTGAGTCTGTAACATTAACACCAAAGACAATTATGAATGAGAGTTTCCATTTTCAGTTTTGGGAAAGACTAAAATGCATTTTTCATTCAATAGGACTTCTATGTTAAAGGCTTTTTCTTTTTTTTGCGTTTACGTTAAATAGGTTTATAATGTGCTCCTGTCCTGTAATTACTGGTCACGTAGCTCATCCCACTAAAAAGAGCTAGTTCTGCTTTCACCGAGGTGCAAAAGGAACCCAGTGGACCAACCATTTGAATACAACAATGCTTTAACAGGTGGCTCTAGATAGTCCATGGGCGCTGAGGGCTGTGCTGAGACAAGCTGCTGCTGCAACATCTGTTCAAGATACACCCAATGAGCCAGCGCTTGTTTTAGGAAAGTCTGCTTCCAAGTGGATTTGCTGGTAATTCATTTCTGACTAGATATCCGTACAGCACGTCTGCTGTGAAGTGCCAGTACTTAGCCAATGGAAAGACAACTCTTGCTCTAGAAAAACAGATTTTTTCCCTAGAGAGTCACAGAACCATAGAATCGTTAGGGCTGGAAGGGACCTCTGAAGATCATCTGGTCCACCCCCTCTGCCAAGGCAGGGTCACCTGGAGCAGGTGACACAGGAACGCGTCCCGGTGGGTTGGGAATGTCTCCAGACAGGGAGACTCCATGACCTCCCTGGGCAGCCTGTCACCAAATCCCGTAAGCTCACACTACAGCAGACGAAAAACCTATCGATTAGGTGCCCGCTCATCACCTGTCTCCTCAAACTGGAAGCTTTGCAGACCTTTCAGCAACCCCAACCTGTACCTACAAAGGCGCGGTCAGTCCCCTTTTAAACAGGTTTACGCAACCTTTCCCGCCCTCCCTCCGGGCCGGCCGAACCACACTTACCCCGAAACCAGGCACTCCCAGCGCGAGCCGCTGCCCAGAGGCCGCGATGTCTCGGCGTTTGAAAACCTTTGAAAATGGCGCGCGGAGCAGCGGCCGCTTCCGCCCCGTCCCCTCAGCAACGGCGGGGACGCGCCTGCCCCGCCAACCGCCCGCCCCTTCCCTGCCCGCTCCTTCCCTTCCCTGCCCGCTCCTTCCCGCCCCTTCCCTGCCCGCTCCTTCCCTTCCCTTCCCTTCCCTGCCCGCCCCTTCCCTTCCCTGCACGCCCAGCAGCCCTCGCGCGGGGGGTGGAACGTTTCCTTCTTTCCTTGCGCCCGGAGACACCGGGGGGCGGCGTTGGGAGAGGGGGGCGCTGCAGAGCTCGCAGCTCTTCGGTAAAACCCTGACTCGAGGGACCGGCCCGTGCCGACAGCCCGGCTCCGGGAGCCTACGAGACAGATGGAGAGGGACTTTTAATATGGGCAGGTACTGCTAGGGCACACGGTAGTGGCTTCAAACTGGGTAGGTTAGATTAGATATTAGGAAGAAGTTCTTTACTGTGAGGGCGGTGAGACACTGGAACAGGTTGCCTAGAAAAGTGGATGCCCTATCCGTGGAAGTGTTCCAAGTCCGGGTTGGATGGAACTCTGACCATCTTGGTCTGGTGAAAGGTGTTCCTGCCCATGACAGGGGGTTGGAACTAGATGATCTTAAGGTCCTTTACAAACCAAACCATTCTATGAAATCCAAATGCCTCAATGTTCCTGAGTTGTCACGTAGCATGTTTGTTACAAAACTCAGAAGAAAAAAAACTTTCTCATTCATACTCATTCATGCATATTCTTGCATCTGCATCTCAAAATCATCTTACCTCTGTCTGCATGTTTTCTTTTATTGTACCTGTTTCTATTCTGTATACACCTCATCTCTGTCCAACAACTTAGCACTTTCATCAAGATGTACAGAAAACCTATGTCCTGAGTCCCTGGCAGCTGAAGCTCCAGGAGGATGAAGCTTACATGAGGTGGGAGTATACTGATGCTAAAAGGAAGAAAAACAACACATGGAGAAATGGAGCAAATCTACTTCAATGGCCAGAGACAAAACAATGGCATTAACTCTGTTTTCACGTTTTTGAAATAACACTCCACAGAAATAAAGAATATGATGAACATAGTTTAATTAGGAATAATAGCCGCAGTCACATTACAACTCAGAAAACAAATTCAGTCTTCCACTGCATAAAGTTCCACATCAACACTTCCTAGAACAAGGAAAATATTTGATAGTCTTCAATGCTTACATAATTTCCAAAATATTAGTGAAAACAGTAGTATCCTTTTTGCATACTAAGAAGGTAGTGCTTACTGCTTCTAGCAAGAGGAGGAATTTTAAATAAAAGTATCTCAATATTAGGGGAAAGAAAAAACTGTATCCAAAGTGTTTCACAGAATTAATGCTTTCAAACAGTACTTCAGCCCAGTAGAAGAAAAACAAATCCCGTTTCATTTTGCCCTGAAAGACATTTGAAGCAGAGTGTAACTCAACAGATATGGCAGTTAACTACACATACGATTGGAAATCCACCTTTTAAAACAAATAGCATTTATAGTGTTTGAATCCCTTATACACAGGCACCTATTTTGCTAGCTTCTCTTTCCCTTTTGAGAACTTAATGAGACTGTGCAATACTGGAGCAGTAGTCTAAAATATCTTGTATAGTGAATTCCATAGTAATTCCTGATCCAGGATAGCAGCGAGCTATCAGCCCTTCAAAGTGCTTGTATTGTCGTATAAACTCATCTTGCATGGAATGCCACACAACCTGCCAAAGAAAGCAAACTTTAGGAAAAGTCAACTGGCACAATACGCTACATATGTGAACTACTAAACATTGGCTCATTAATTCATTCTCAGTTCAGGTGTCATTTGCCAGTTAAAGCTTGCTGACAAAGTTCCATAAATGGAGTTGCTGCATTACATAAAAAGATTGATGTTTTTCACCCTTTAAGTTTAAGATCTGTAATGTTTACATGACTCCTACCAAAGGTGCAAAGCAGAAAATAGTAAAGATGAGAAAGTTTTCCTAAAAGAAGTATTGCTTTTGTGTTTCAAGAAAACACCCTGAACCAGAACTGTGCTGTAATTCACGTTTCAGATTTTAAACAGCTGTTTAAACAACTCTAACTTGTAAATCTATTTATCATTTACTCCAGTGAGAAATTTGCAGAGTATAACAAAAACATCAGATAATGCAACTATCAGAAAAGATGTAATTGCAAGTCTGTTCTGCTGTAGTGCACCAACTAAATTTCGCATCAGGTTAACAGTGCATTTCAGTCTAGTTCTCTCTACTTCCAGTATATTTTGCAGAACAGAGATCACCTCTTAATGGTCAGCTAGGGAATCATAGAGGAATTTTCTTTATGAACTTTACCACCACATTTCAAATCCACGATAAACAAACAGAATTATAAAAATACCCTAAAAACCTCGACTCAGAATTCATGTTTTTTTTCAGAGTTATGCTGAACATTCTCATAGAATACATATGTTTAGGCAATAATAAAAATCCTCTGTGTAAACATTATAAGGTTTTTAAGTCATGATTATGGTTAGTTTACCTGAAGTAAGTTTTCTTCTTCACAGAGATGTTTATCTACCTTCTTGTAGAGATTATCCAATCCCTTCTTCACTTCCTTACCAGGATATTCCTTTATAACTTTACGAAGCTCCTGTTTATTGAAAGCCAGCTGGTAACTTACTTCCTCTTCTCGTATACCTTGTGCCACACGAGCTTCAACGCCTTCAAAAAAATGCTAACAACAAATAACAGTATTAATGACTACTACAAACCTAAACTAATTAACTTAATTTGACAAGGATATATGCAGTTAAGCCTTGATTCTGCTTAATGACTGCTGTGTTACCCCCATTTTTGTTTTTTAATTGGGCATGAAGTAATGCTAAGCTATAAACAAAACACAGCCAACAATAGAGTGCTCCAAGTACTAGCATAAAACTGAAATCAATCATTTCTAGAAGGAATCAAGCTTTTCTTTGCAACCTTTAACTAATAATCACCCTCAAAATCCTCAATTAATGAGCTCATAGCCTGGGAAAATACTGGATCTTTCAGATAAACTCACTAAGCACCTGAGCATCTCTACTTAAACCATAATTACACAACAGCATAGCTGTTCACAATTGCCCTCACTTCTCACTGCTGTTGACCAGTTGGCTCAACATAATACAAATGGAGAGAAGTATTTCTATGAGCATGCAGGTAGAGCCACAAAAGTGCATTGGGTCTGGGCCAGGACAGAGTTAACTGTCTTTATAGCAGCCCATATGGTGCTGGTTTTGGATTTGTGGCTAAAACGGCTGATAACAATGTTTTGTTATTGCTGAACAGGTCAAACCTGATGAAACCATAGTATATAACTTCATTCTCAACAACAAAAAGTAGGGTTGGAGGAGGGGGCAGGGATGATGTTCGGCTTCAAGGTGGCTCGCTCTCTTTTTTCTCTCTCTCTCTCTCTCTCTCACACACACAAAATGGATGCCTCAAAAAGCAAAGAACAGTGGAAGACATTCAGTAGGCAGGACTGAGTCTGAACCTAAGTCACCACTCACTAACACTTCACACATATAGAGCTTTCCTAGAACTCTTCTTATTGTTGAATAATTCAGAAACTACAGTAATTTTCTCTGCAGTTGAGGTAAATAAAATGATCCTAAAGCTCCAGATTACTTTTCTCCTCATTTTTTCCTTCTTCAAAACCGTTTGCTTAAAATACTGATGTTTAGTCAGTACTATTAATTGCCATGAAAAATTTGCTTATTTTCATCCAAGACTGCTACCCTCATGAGTCAAGTACTCTTGCCAGACATGCTCAAGTCCAAAATAATAAAATAAGAGGTTATGATAGATGCAGTGATAAAGAGATCAAATAATGCAAACTAAACATTCAAAACTATTCTGTACCATTTAAATGTATACGCAAATATACTTACATTTAATTTTTCAAGAGGCTGTCCAAGTGAATAGATTACATAAGACTGAAGATGATCAGTGTATTTTTGTTTGGCTTCTTTTTTCTCAGCCTCCAGACAAGAAATTTTCAAGCGCGAAAGTGTTGCAAAAATATGATGGAAGTTCTCCATCATGACCACATCTCTGGGTGTTTTCTGGCTTTCGTTAGCTACTTTCTCAACTGAAAGAAACAGTTAGCAAAATACTTAAAATACCTAAAGGACAACCAAATTCAAAAAAACATAACCAGTAACTATAATACTGTCAAAAAAGAAGTTTTGGATTTCATGTAATTGATAAACATTTGTATGAGTAATCGCCAGAACTGCCACTAAATAGAACAGTTATCTGACAGCCTTCATAAGAAGTAACAGATAAATACAGGCTCTGAGATCATGAAATTTGTATGGCAAGTCACAAGATACAAAATAGTGCCTATGTATGGTCTCATTTACAGAAGTGAGAAACAACCCACACTCTGTGGAGGCTTATAAGCAAGCTTTCAGTATCCCTAATAAGTTTTACATGACAGAATTATTTAAGAAAAATCAAAGAAAAATCAATTCCCATCTTCAGTAGGACAAAAACCTTTGATAAGATAGTGGGGCTTTTTTAAATATACTTCTTAGTCTTTCAATTTTTGCTTATTAGTATTATGTTCAAAATTACTGTCAGTCCCTAAGTTTAATAATAAAAATAGATAATCCTAGATCTTTTCTCTCCCATTCCTAAAAAAAAAAACAAAAACAAACGACCCCAAAACCAAACAAAACAACAGGCAGGCAAAAGAAATTCTACCTATCACTCCCTTACTGCACCTAAAAGCAGGCTGAAAAGAGGATGGCTTCCACCAAGAGTGCAATTAAGTCTCTGTGCCTGTTCATCCGTTAATCCTTTGCCGAAACTACCAGAGTATCAGTAATGATTCACTTCAGTCAGAACACTGAATTGCCAACTAGGAAAAGTCTGCTACTGCCATATACTCCCATAGAATTTTCTACAGGGAAAAAAAAACCAAACAGGAAGCTACTTCACATTGAGCATGCTGTGTTGCTGCCATCTCCTCTTCCTCTCCAGAGTCATAACCACTTCCCTCTCTTATAACTCGAGATTACAGGTATATACAAAAGGAAATATCTGCAGTTCTCTCTTAAAAAGTATATTGCAATCAAAAGGATTACACTTGGTCACCTACCAGTAAGAGATACAAGCAAAATTTCAGCCATAATATCGGTCACATGGCTTGCAACAGACAGTCTTAAAAAAATCACCTGTTAATTGGAGCAAAATGATATATAAATAGGAGGAAACAATTATATTAGTAGCTATGAAAACCTCAGAAGACCTACCACTGACAAAAACAGCTCTAATAAGTTTTGTGTAGGCTTTATCTAGATCTCCTCGTCGTTCTGCATTTTTGAAAATCGATTCAGCGAGGGCAGCAAACTCTTCAAACTCAGCAACAAATGGAAGGATCCCAACTTTACTCTTCTTTGAGATTTTTACTTCGTCCATCTGCTTCATTTGATTACTCTTAAATTTAAAAGAAGAACAGATGTTAAACAATAAAATAAGACAAGAGAAGGTAACAACTATTAAAAAAATTGCAGATATACTGAAAACTGACATTTATCCAAACAGAAATAATTTTACCTTTCAATTAATATATAATTGAATAGAAAGACTAATACTCAGTCTTTCTGCCTTTTTACCCTTAAACGTTTGTTAAGTAAAATAATTGCAAAGAAAAAAGGAAGACGGGCTTTTATTCTCCTTTGTTTACTTACTGTTAAGAAAAAAAACCCAATGAAAAAACCCCAAACTTGTGCACCAGAAGCAATTAACAATTTTCATTCAATAATCCAACAAGGAACTTCATTTTTCTGATTCAGCCAAGCTAACAATTCTTTTTGCTGCAAAAGTTTCTTTAGTCTTCCATTAAAATATTATTTTTGAGTCTAATTTTAAAAAAATCTTCAAAATATTTTAAGCATTAAACTGATCAAGAATGGTTAGTCATATTATGTTGGCCTAGAGTCAAATTACATTGATGAAAATTAAGAAGAAAATTATGCCAGCAACTATATTTTCACTAAACTTGCCATATTTCATATAACTTCATAGTTTCATATAATTTCATAGTTGTATTCTGGCAGTAGCGGCTGCCACTGCTCATAGTGCCAAAGAACCTCACACCCTCATAAATCCACGATCTTTTGCTTCTGCAAGTAAAGAAGGCAGAGAGCTACAGTTTACTTAATGGACTTCGGTAATCTCAGTGGGAGTATAAATACAAACAAAAACTAAAAACGTCAACCAACTCACAGAAGTGAATAAGTGGTCTTATTTGTTACAAGTAGCTACTTACTGAAGAAAACTGGAATGGAGAGGAAAAAGAAACACAACCACCAATTAGTTTATCTTTTTTGAAGGCTTAGCCAGCAGAAGAGCAATAAAGTTACTAATTTTCTCTTCAAATTTAACGCAAAAATTTAACTATAAAGAAATGCAAAATCAAAGTGGATAGGACTGGGCTTCCTATAATATTATAGTTAGCTTAATCAGAATAACTAAAAACTTACAATGCACTTATCAAAGTTCCTTTTGACAGTCACCAAAACATTTCCAAGTGTTGTGCTGAGAAAGGACGCTGGGTCCACATTTTGTGCTGTCCATACATGATGACTCATCTTAACTAACATATAAAGGGAATTAAAGCTATCAATCTTGTCCCCCAGCGCTATAAGGTTATTCAGCTCAGGTTCAATACAACGAAATATTTTTGTCATCATTTGTCGGATCATGTCCTTCCTATTAAAAATGTATAAGAGAAAAATATTACTCTGACAGTTTACTAGGCTATATTACATGTTCTTTGATAACATTTTTAGGATATATTTATTGGATATAGTAGTCTCTTTTTCATTCAACAAGTCTCATGATTTTCAGAAGGCTGCTAAGGAAGAAATGTCAATGCCACACAGTAAAAGTCAACAGTCACAGGTATAAAATATTCCAAAAAGTATTTTCTCTGTGAAAGCTGCCACACACTCTCAGAACTTTGCTAAGCCCATTTTCCATATAACAGAGCCTACTTTCACTTTGCAAACTAAGAGAATTAAGCATCTTTTTTATACCACTATAGACAGAAACACCCATCCCATATACAAAAATTTTCTATTTAGTGACACACTCAATGTCTTGTAGCTAAAAATTAAGATTTCACTGTTCACTTCCACTAAAAGGGAACAATTTCTGATTACAGAGAAAAGTTTTATATGCCAAATAAATTCAAAAGTAGGCTTAAGAATTAAGAATCAATAATAAACAACAGCAGCACATACTCAGATGATATAGTTTGTGGAACACCAGAAGTGTACGAACGAGATAAAGCTACGCCATCCATTTCCTCCACTTCATTCTGTAAGAACAAGGAATGTATGTAAACAAAAATAAATTCTGTCTCCAATTCTATATCTAAGCAATAAGTATATCTGATAAAACCAACATGATTAGCAGCTCCATACTCCATCACCCCGCCTCCTGAGTAGAAAATATAGCAGTTTGCAAGGTTCTGGTGTTTTCTGGTCACCTTCCACCAAATACAACACTATCCCCAATTACTCCCTATTGTCTTCCTGCATAGCATGGTCAAGTGTCTATTGTGATCTTACGAGGAGATAAAGCCATGGCAAAGAAACCTGTCAGTCCTTCTTTCACAGATTTTGTTATGGTCAGCCAAAAATAAGGATCCTGCCAGATCATGGAGAAAAACACATTATTGATCACCTAGATCACATAACTGCCAGATAAATTTCAAATTTATTTATTTCGAATTTCTCTAATGAGGCCTGGTCAGTATTTTTTACTTCAATGACAGAGAATGTAAGCCATACCGTTGTTGTTCCCGACGTGCTCTGATGTTGTTGTAGTTTGAAAAATTTACTAATGAAGTCCTGTTCTGCCAGACACAGAGGCTCTAGTTCACTTAATACTTGCTCAAAAATCTAAAGAAAGCCAAATATTTTATCAATACACCAAATACTACGAACAGTTAGCAATACCAATTTTAACTGTTTGTTGCGTATACTTTCTAACTTCACTAAGCTTTAGAAGGCTTATTACTACTTAACAGAAATGGAAACAGCTTGAACTTCTATCTTTGAAAGTATAGATGCATCTTCAATATAGTCCCTTCTCATGCATGTAACACTGGTAAGAAAAGAATAACCTATGTTTTTCCACAACTGTAAGTTTTCTAGACACAGTCTGAGGCAAAATTTAAAGCCTTAGGGAAGAAAAACAGGTCAACTGTATATGTAGAAGATAACTGCTCTGTAGGAAAAGCAGAAAATGTTTCTTTATACCTGCTACAGAAAGCAACAAGTAGGTTTTGTACTCAAGTATGCATCACAATTTTTAGACTTAAACAAAACACTATTTTGGCAATAATTTTTAATCTGTCATCTTTACACAATGCAGAATTTTCTCTGCAAGTATTTAGCGAACAAGACAGGCAATACCTTACATAACTAATCTCACCACAAAGAAATCCATACTGATGGAAATTCCCATAGGAAAAAATAAAACAACCTAGTAGATCAGCTCAATAGCTTACAATTTTGTATATATTAGTCACACTCACATATCCCAAATGGGTGCGAGATACAAATCCCAAGTTGAAAATAATAGCACAATACTTGCATAAAGCTGTTTTACCAAGCTATCTTTTTAATTCTAGACAAGTTGCTGCTACAGGTTTGTAATAACTTAACAGTTAATATTGTTTCAGGCATATAGTATTTCCTCCCAGAAAAAGATTGAGCAAGGATTTGAAGAGGTCAGAAGAAAACTCATCTCCATCAAACAATTCAATAGAGAAGAAGAAAAATATTTTTATCTCTCACTGATAACTGCTCCTTTTCCTTCCGCTGAGGAGTTAATTCCGCAAGAAATAGTGAGTATTGTCACTTTTAAAGGTTTGGGGGGGGGAAATCAACAGATGCTGAGGACAGCAGGTTTTAAAACAAGATGAGGACACTCCAATAGTCACTTAGTGCCATTGTTAAAGCTGAAAACTGATGATAACTGATGTGAAACAAGAATAAATAAAATTTTAGGGCCATGCTCAAAGTCCTGGCTAAAATAAGTTTATGCTTTCATATCTTTCACTTTTGCTTACATACTGGCAAAATGTGACAGAACACATGAATATCTGTACTGAGAAAAATAATATCAGCTGGAGAATCCATCTCAATTCCTATTTGCTTAAAAATGTGTACTTGGCTTAAACTTAATAGACCATTTGTTTTATGCTTGATATTCTTTAAAGATCACACATAGCATATAAAGGAACTTTAAAGAATCTTATAACCAAAGAATAATACTCTGGCCTACATATTTCTTAGAAACTGCCTTTATTAGATGTATGGTGCATACAGACTTTGAAATTGGCAGGTTTTAAGATTTAAACAGTACAGATTTTTAAACTATACAAGAAGGATATGTAAGATGCTTCTAATACAAAACTAAGCAGGAATTCTATACAATACTTTGGCTTTACCTTATCAAATTTTGTTCTGTCAGCCACATCAAGGTCAGAGGCAGACATGTTTCCCATGTCTAACAGTGAGGATGATTGAGACCTACGGTTTCCTGAACTCTGAACAGAGAGTTTATTTAGACTAGAAGTAGACCCAGTCAGTTTTCCAGAACTTCCATGAAGACCTGTGAAATAAAGACACTATGAAGAAGAAGCAAAGGCAGAATAAAATACTGAAGAACAGGTTCATTACAGAACATATGAGATCAATACAATAGTCCTATATTAAAATCAAACAACTCAATTTTTATCTAAGCTAAAAATGCTTTTGCTATAGACATTGTTTCCTTGTTACAAGGTAAATGAAATAATTCAACAGTTTTCAAAGTATAACATAGCTGTATAACCTCTCATTGTAAACTATGGAAAAAAGTATAAAAGGAATGAAACTGAAATACAGGAACACTGGGATAGATATTCTCCTTGAAAACTTGAAAGTGATGATCTTTGTGAATGTACTCTGGGCAAAGGCTGCTGCAAGCAGAAGAAATGATGCCCAGGAGGGAAAAAATTAAAAAGCTTTATGTACACACAGGCACTTTTTCATCTTGAACTTGATCTCTTCTGCTGTTAACATCCTTTATCTACACGGTTTGTTCTAGCTATTTTGCTGGATCTACAGCTCCACAGTAATTCTAGTTCTAATGGTCTCCTCTCCTTTTGATCATAATTAATATTCAGTCATTTCTTCCTGATATTGTTGGGCCTTCTCCTAGATGAGGAACATGGTTTTTTTTTTCTAGAATTCTCAGAAATGTTGGATGAGGACAGAGAAAGCTAGTAACAAAAAAGACCAAGAAATTATCAATATCTGGCTGCCACGTAAACTTCTCACATCTAAACCACAAAGAAACTTAAAAGCAACCCTGCAAGTTTCATTTAACTGCTATGTTGGTATCTAGTCACAAGACAAAGTCTATAAATCTAAGTTGCCACCTCAGCTTACTGGAAGAGTTAGAAAACTATGACAAGCTCTCAGGCACAAACATATTTTTACTAGTAGCATGGGGAAAACAGAAGATATTGCCTTTACCTGCAAACCTTTTCAACTTCTATGTTGGGACATTATAGTTGTGCTTCATTTTTGCCTTGCAAAATCAATGATTCTGCTAATGCTCATTTCATTCTAGAGTACTTCAGTGTTAGGCAGATTCTCCATGATGCAGCACTACATCGTAACATCGACACACATGCATTGACAATACCAACTAATGCAACTAGTTATACTCACTCTCAGTTTCCTGTTTGACAGCACTTTCTTTTCGAGGCAGTGTAGCTGGGATGGATTAGGTTGCAAGCATCAAAGACAAAGACAAGTTAAAATGCAGTTTGCACAAACCATGCACAAGATGCAAGTTAAGCTCTAACTGGAAAGAAACATGCGGAGAACTATAAGCAGCAAGTAACTACATTGCAAACACATTTAGTTGGAGAGGTACTATTCTAGAAATTCAGTATCTAAGCTACATGGAAAATAAAGTAAGTTTGTAGGTATTAAAATTTGCTTTTTCTTATACAGCGTGTTCAAAGAACATTTTTGGTAACGTGTATTCAAGTTCTCCCAAACTGAGAAGTCCATTAAATTAGGGCTTTATTTGTCAGAATTAATACTGCAAAAGACTCAGTTTCCAAGATAAATCATCATATCAATAATAGACTTGAAGAAATTAAAATGCACTTATGTAATTTTTTACTGAGTCAGAGATATTGTCCAGCATTTTAATTTAAAAAAAAACATATACCAATGCTACAAAATCATTCATGGCTACCCTTTTCTGTTTGCAAATCAGGATGTTTACATAGAGAATACATCTTTTGTATTTATGCTGCACCAAAAACTGATGACTGCAAATTTGGAGAGGATGAAAATAATAAATATATAGTAAAAAAATTTCTAAAGCTTTTTTTTTTTTATTTTTTTTCAGAATAAAACAGCTTCCTCAAGTGGACTTCAATGTGAAATTTAGAGTAAATGGGCATTTGTAGAAAAATAGAGAATCCCTAACCAGTAAAAGGTATTTGCATACATACGCTAAAAGCAATATGTGGTATTAAAGATCTTGATGAGGATGGATGCTACAAGCCCCCAAAAATGGAGCAGGCAAGCAGAACCTACTGTAATAGAATGAGTAGATACTTCTAAATGCCACAAACATGTCTTAAATACCAGATGTTCTCAAGAAGGCAACACTACTGATAATTGTAACATCAAATTGAAATTTAATTCCAGCCTAGTTTTTAGATCTTGGGGGTTTTGGCAGGTTTTGAATAAAAACGTTTTAGGCATGATATATTTTGGCGTATGCAACTGTCATGCATTGGCCCCACTTCTTCACTGTCCTCAATTTCCAAACGCATGGGACTTAGAATGTGAAGAACTACAGGCAAAGATCAGGCCCCAGACAATCAGGGGAGCCTCAGTGGCTTTTGAGAAGCTACACCGCATAAACCTATGACAGTAGTAGCACTCTTTCCAACATTGACTTTATGGTATTTAAGTATCAAAGTCTTGGCTTCATCAGAAAAAGAAAAAAAAAAAGAAAAAAAACACTACTTAAGACAAGTGTGAATGCTCACGACCCAGGTAGGTTTTTTTGCCATAAAAAAGCAGACAAAGAACCTTGCGCTAGCACAGAATGCCAGAATTCTCCCAGCTTTTGAGGCATTCAAATAGCAGTGCTATTCCCAAAGCACAAAAAAAAGGCAAGAACACACACCAACACAGCTTGGAAACAGGTCATCTTTAGTGTTCGAGTACAACTGGAGCATTATTGCATTTATGCACCTATACTATTCCTTAAACAAGTTTACTAGTATGAAGTGATGTATTTTGAATAAATGTACAACTAGGAGTAGTAGTATGATCCCTACATTGAACATGGAAGCCTTTGAAATTACAAACCATTATAAGCTGTTACAAAATAAATAAATTTACATGACAAATGCATGACACACGTCTTCTCAAGGTGCAGCTTTTACGCTGGTGAATTGAAGGACCCCTTTCTCCAAAATGCCTGCTAGCTCCATAATGCTTACGCAAGTTAGGGAATTGCTACAAAAACTGTTTCCTCACAAATACAAATCACAAAAGAAGTGTCAAGACAAAGGGTTAAGAATGCTTTAGATATCAATTTGTATTAGGATAAAGGGGGTTCTTTCCTTGCAATAAGATACCTTTTCAAGATTTATGAATTTAAATGTTCTGATGACGACACATTATGGCACCTCTTGCTCTCCATGTCCAACAGATTGCCAAGACTGATCTTTCCAGCTTCCCCCTTCCTCAAATAATACCACTCTCCTGCTTTCTTCCTTTTGTTACATTTTCCTGTTTTCTACCATCTTCTACCATCAAACTTCAAAAGATAAGTTCAGGACCCAAAATAGGCTTGACAGAACTTACTCGTTAAAGCTGCATATAATATTGGAATTCTGAAGTTGCAAATTGGTGAACTGTGGCAAACATAAATATTTCAAACCAGTTTTGAAACAGTGCACCTCAAAATATAGAATAGACAATATATAAATACAACTATACCACTGTTGCTTTCTAAGTATCCAAGTTTGTTTTTTTCCTAAAGTTTCATTTCCGTATTCACACTAGACTAATCCTAGGAGGAATATATACACCCTTAGACATAAATGCCTACAAGTTAACAAATTATGATTTCTAGTCTCAGGCTACATAGGTAAATCCAACTGAAAAAACCCAATAAAATACACAAGTTTTCTTAGGCAGAATTAGCATTAAAAACTAGCTTCCTAAAATCCACCTAAAACTTATTAAAAGCAGAAATAACAGCAGAAGGAACACACACACGCTGCTGCCCAAACTTTTGTTAATTACAAGAATTGATTTTTCAAACTTGTTCCAGTAATAAAGTGGGATAGATCAAGTAATAAAATATGATTGGTAGTCTGTTAAAAAGTGATCAAGGATCTGAAAATTTAGAAAAATATCATATTTTATCCTTTTATCTTGACTAATTTCACAAGATTTCAGTTGTTCTACTTTGGCCTTCTCGAAGTCAGAAGTTTTACCAATCATTTTTTCCATCCAACTTCTTCTACCTTGCCAAAAATAAAGAATTTTACCCCATTATAAAATTAGCTGTAAGTGTTGTAATAAGTGTTTAATATGCAAATTACAAGATTCAAAGCAAGATATGTGTCTTCTGGAAGCTTACCAAACTTTTTCCCTTCTCTGGTTGTGCCCGTCATCTTGATCTTGGCAACTTCAAAGAAATCTTTTATTTCCCTTTCATACAGTCGTGATAGATAATCCATATAATTCTTAAAAGAAAAACGTAAATTTAGTTAACAGATATTCATACTGACTTCGTCTATTACAGGTAAATAGTTCCAAAAACGTGCAAGGTTTGTAAGTCCTACTAAATAACAAACTGGTTTGGTCAATATAAATATATATATTTATGCAGCATGCACAAACATATATTCATGATATTTAAGCAGCTTATATTCATTTTCATAGTGAGTTCACTAAGCATTATTCAGAAACTTCTACTTCTCCTCCATAAAGAAAGATATGCAATGCAGTACATACAAATAGGATTGCTAGTGGTAGAGTATCACAGAATTCAATTCAAGGGTAAAATGGAAAGAATTCAGCACCATTCTCTGTACCCTATTTAATCACTCCCACTGTGTCCCCAAAAGCACACATAACACATAAATATATAACTCTCTCAATTTTTTGTTAGAAGATCACAAATATGTCAACCATTCATTAACTATCTGCATGACACTGAAAGCGAAGGAAGAGCTGTTTCAAAGCCATTGAAAAAGTCTAATTTAAATCTTCCATTTAAGAATTACAGTACTTTAATTAAAAAAAAAAAGACTTGCTCTCTAAGGACTAACTTCCCTTTGATTTCTACCTAAACATTTTGTATACTTCTGTAGTAATTTTTTTCACTCCATGTTAGTTTTAAACAAGGTAGTTAAAAGTTACATACATAGAAAGGGAAAACATTTCTATTTAGTCTACTTTACAAGAGACCTCTTAAATTTTTGATGTTCCCAAGTGAAATGAAGGTCTGTTGAAATAAAGATGTCACACAGACAAAAGACACATCACTTTGAAAATAGCTTAATACCATTTTTCTTACTAGGCTGCAAAATGACAAACTTGTTTTACATAAACATTAAGAAAAATATCTTATACTTCTGAACCAAATGTTTGAGGAAAAAAACTAACAAACAAAACAGGATGTCACAAACATGAAAAAACGAAGCTTCTTATTCCAAAGAGGAACATTATTCCAAGAGAAGAGGAGCATTGAGTTACATTTCATATACAGGAATATTCACAGGTGCATACACATGGGCAATTGTTTTGACTATCAAATCCAGTCTACTACGTACTTTGTCTAGCGTCATTTGAGCACTTCACATACCTTTGTTAGTCCTTCATATTTTCCATAATCTGTGTTCTTGAGCCACTCCATCAGTTTAGCATATCGAAGTAAATCTCTGTGAAATGGATGGTGATTGGGTAATGTCAATTCAGCAGAGTGCTGGGCAAGAGTGGAACTCTGATCGTGACCCTTGATAAAAAAAAGTATTGAAGTAAATCTGGAAGCACTACACAGAAGTACAATAAGTTTCCTGAAAAACTTAATATGAAGACAGCATCTCATTCAGGCAAACAGAAAAGTCTCATAAAATACCTTGGATAGAAGCAAAGCCTAGAGACGCAGACTGAAAAAGACACCTAACAATACTGACACTAAGCTGTTATAGTTGTGAAAGGTAATGCATCTTAATAAGCTTGTTCATTGTAAGGCTCTTTGCCTTAAGGGTGAGTCACTAGCATTTTTCGCTGCTTCTGTTTAAAGATGTTACTCCCACACTGTAAGACACATCAAGTCCCCAGTTAATGAGTGGCTTAGGTGTTAACGATGAGCTTTATATACTACACCTCTTCTCTGAAAGTTGCTCCAATTCAACCTACTTTAGTCCACTTTGGCCAAGCCTTCCTTGGTCAAGTCTTAAAAACATCAGTTCACACACATTCTCTCTCCCTCCACACAGAGACACACACCCACACTTTCACTGAACATTTACTGAAGTTAACAGTTTTTGACATGCAGCATTTAACACAAGCTACTAATTTCATGCTCCTCCTTTACTCTGGCTACTTTCCTGAAACCCACACTATGCTTTAAGCATCACATCACATTGCTGGAACAACATATGATTTAGATTTTTAAGCTTTCACTTGCTTGAACTCACAAGCTTCCTGGGAAATTCAGGAAGAGCAAGCAAGGTAACACCACTGTGCAGCCACACAGCAGAATACACAACCATTATTCCTGGGTTAACAGAAGGGAGGATGGGACTTAATTTCCAAATGGCTTTAATATTTTCTGTCTTTTTTGCTGGGCTTTTAGTAAATACTGCAACAGGCCTTGATCTCAAGTATATTTGTGCCATAACAGCACAAAAAGATTTCTATTCCGGTAGCATCACATGCAGGCAGTTTATGCAGGTCAGGCAATGTCAGTCCCTCAGAGAAGAAGAATTCCTGGACAGTTCCACCTTGGATGTGATAAGTCAGCAGAATAAGCTATACAGCTTAAAAACTGCCTTTGCATGTTTTTAAGTTGGAACAGCAGCCAGTTTAGATTAAAGTGACAAAACTAAAGCAAATTTTGTCTTACCCTTTTCTATTGTACTGGGTTCAAGTCTTTGGTTAAAAAAAGCCCTAAAAGCTTCCACAATACATTCACAGACTTGTTTAAAAAATTATATATATGAATCTGTGATATTATTTGTGAAATACTAACCTTTACTAAGTACTGCAATGCGAACATGCCAGCTTCTGGAAAAAGCTAATATACTACATAGAATCATAGAATGGTTTGGGTTAGAAGCAAGCTTAAAGTTCATCTAGTTCCACCTCCTCTGTGATGGGAAGGGACACCTTTCACTAGACCAGGTTGCTCAAAGCCCCATCCAACCTGTCCTATCACTTCCAGTGATAGGGCATTCACAACTTCTCTGGACAACCTGTTCCATTTCTTTTTTTTGTATCCAACGTGAACATGAACTTACTTTGAGCCCTGTTCTCTTAACTATGTAAACTGAGACACAAATGGACCCAAAGAAACAAGTCCTGCCAACTTCATTAATTTATTCTCATAGACAACGGGGAAGGATAACACTATAAATCTTCCTTATAAAAATAATCCTGTAGTATGCCTTTAAGAAAAAGCTAACTTTGCAAAGTGTAATTACTGAAACATAGAATTTGGAATTGGCATCCAGCCAGCATTAGCAACACAGCTGCTGATGTGATCACTGAGGTCATACTCAATGCTGTGTGTACTTCTGGGCATGCATATAGCAAATATTTTCAGTAGATCTTTTATAGGCTTCTATGAAAACTAGATTATAGAAAACCATTTACAGTTCTCCCTCCTGCCCCTGGTGTGTTACATTCCCACAGCATGCATTTTAATGTACAA